GTACACTAACTCACGACACTCTTGGTTTTGTTGGAATATAAATATTTAAAGGTGTTCACTAAAAATCATTTTGACACTAACTCACGACACTCTTAGTTTTGTTGGAATATAAATATTTAAAGGTGTTCACTAAAAATCATTTTTGATGGTGAATCATCAACTTGTACATGAAGTTTCCGATTATTCAAAAATGTGATCCGAATACGTTGAACTAGAGATAAACACACATCATTCTAGTATAGTTTATTGCCACAGATAAACAAACTAAGGAAGCTTAACGTCTATTTACATATCCCAGCAATTTCAAGACAGACTTATAAATGCTGTGTTTAAGGTCAGAAGTTAACACAAGACACCACAAGTTTTGGATTTACCAATATAAAAGTAAACCTTACAGCTAACATCTGTACCATGATTACTTCAGTTATTAGACAAACATTTTTTTTCTTTTTTAACTCTGATAATCTATGTGTAAGGAAGTAGGAGGGAGCTCTTTGTAATAGTGTTACCATACCCCTGCTGGGGAGGGAGTCAGTGTAATGTTTATGGAATCTTATTAATTTAAGAAGATCTAAAAAATTAAGCTACCTGACAGAAAGAAAGGTTAAACGTTATTAAGGTTATTTAATAATAAATGAGTGGTGAAGTTATATTTTAATACACAATACCTGATGTTACCATTAAAAAATTTAGAGCTATCCCAAAATGCTTAGAATTTATGGGCAGTTTGGTATTGAAGATTTAATATGACTCATGGAAAAGTCGTAATTCTGGAAAATAATGATGCTAAAATTTTGAAAATTATACAATATACATTTAAACTTGTTTGTTTGTTGTTGTTTTGTTGTTTTCTTTAATTTCGCGCAAAGCTACACGAGGGCTATCTGTGATAGCCGTCCCTAATTTAGCAGTGTAAGACTAGAGGGAAGACAGCTAGCTAGTCATCCCCACCCACAGCCAACTCTTGGGCTACTCTTTTACCAACGAATAGTGGGATTGACCGTCAATTATACAATATACATTTAAACTTGTTTGTTTGTTGTTGTTTTGTTTTGTTTTTAATTTCGCGCAAAGCTACACGAGGGCTATCTGCGCTAGCCTTCCCTAATTTAGCAGTGTAAGACTAGAGGGAAGGCAGCTAGCTAGTCATCCCCACCCACAGCCAACTCTTAGGCTACTCTTTTACCAACGAATAGTGGGATTGACCGTCACATTATAACGCCTCCACGGCTGAAGGGGCGAGCATGTTTGGTGGGACTGGGATTCTAACCCGCGACCCGCAGATTAAGATTCGAGCTCCTTAACAACCTGACTATGCCGGGCTACGTTTAAACTTTTCGGAGACAGAAAATCATTTTCAAGCAAAATATTACGTTCTTCGTATATCATTTTAATATCATATTATAAAACTACTAAGCATATAGGTGTAGCTCTAAGATAATTGACATATTTCGACTAATAGGAAGGTTAGATCCTCCTTTAAAAACGAATGTTAACTTACATTTCACGATTTATTTACTGGGCTTCAGAAAAAAAAGTTGCCCTAGAAGAAAGCATTGCTTTTCTTCTGTCAAATAACCCATTTTTATCGAGATATCTTCATAACTGAATGAGATGTTTAAAAAAAAGAAACATTGCGGTAACCCCCACCCACCAGCTGTTCATAACACGTGTCATTTTATGCGAGTTATGTCACTGTCGTATTTTGTCTGGTAAAAGAAAATACATATATAAAAAGATCCTTCTTAAAGCAGAATTAGCCTGAAAAGTACATTTTCGTTTTCGTGAAGTTCAGTTAATAAGTGTTCTTTCGTAGTTACGATTACCTATCTCCATGTTCCCAGGAATCTTAACAGATGAATATGTCTGTACGGTAGCCTTCTAAGATCTTATCGCCACCTATATATTTCGGGCACAACTTAGGACTTAACTGTTACTTCCAACAGTCGTTAGACACAAGTGATAGTATGTTAATTTTGTTGTTGTTGTTACATTTAACTTGGTCAAGTTCCAATTAAAGTATCAATATTCTTACTACTTCTTGTACGATTCTGTCATTCATTTAATCTTCCTTTTTTTTTTCATGAACATCAGTTTTTGTTGTACTATCTTTACCGCTCTGCTACCCAACTCTATAGCTAATGGTTATGGAGTAACTTATTTCACATGTCAAGCTTAAGTTACACTGTCAGAGAGACATTTATCGGGCTTTCACTGGTCACAATACGTTGTTATGCGGATTATATAAAATGTTGAGTGTACTGATGTCAAGTTTTCTAAGAACATGAGATTTAAGGTAGTGTATGAGGCAAGTCGCGTATTTTCTATAATTAAGTTTTTTAATGTTACCTTTATTCACTATGTTGATTAGAATGTTCAATGAATTTATATATATTTAATTTAATTATAAAGGTTATTTGAAATGTTAACTTAGTATGTGGATTTAGGACTAACCGAAATCTCGTGAGATATTATCGAGATTAGGGTAGAAAATCTCTAACAGTGATGGTATACAACCGTTGCAAAGAATTCTTATCATTACAAGAAAGACTATAATAACGGGATATTTAACCACTGTATTCATAACTAGGTTTGTTTGATCTAGGAATGTGACTTGCTTTAATAAGAAGTTAATATTAATCACATAATTGATTACTATTGTGTTCTGAGGAAACTTGTGGCGTTTTGTTTACTTACACCATTTATCTGTATTGCGTTTAAAAGACACTGTATATCTACCCAGAATATTTCCTTACAGGATGTCACATTTGTTCAGTGTAGTGTTCTCAACAATACAAATATTTTAACGTGTATCAGTTTGGATAAGTCCTAAGTTGAAAGCCCTCTGGCAAGTATCCAACTTCATCTACCACTAACAGGCAGCGCAACAGCTTTCCAACAGCTACACCGTTTTTATCTACTGTTTTCTCTTGCATGATATTAACTCTACAATTTGTAGTTTGGTCTACTCATAATATTCAGAGCATAAAAGTTGGCAATATCACCATCCAATATCAATAACGAGATAGTTGTCCTGGTTATCGAAAATGCAGCTGTTATAGTTTATGCGTAACACTACCTAATAGTGATACAGTTAAACAAAAAGTGGGCCAACTTATTGTATTATAATTGACGTACGTGCATACATTACATATAGAAAGGAGACCTATACGTGCATCACGACCTTAGTGGAGCTATCATTACAAAAATACTGATAATCCAATATTTAAAACTTGCAACGCAGTTTGTAAAAATAATTTATTTAATTCTAACTGGTATATGCCATATAAAAGCTCGTATTGTAGAAAGTTAGATCATGTTGAAATCATGTCAAGTCAATAACCAACTACATAATTTTTTCTGCTCCTCCTCTTTTAATCTTATATAGTACACTCGTTGTTTACAAGTATTAGAATAGTTATTATGATGGTTCTTATATTATTTCAAGTTATTAGTTTAGTTTTGTTATCAAATGGATATTACTTTCATCATTTACACATTTTCTGCAAATTTCTGCGACAAGGAGAAACTTCCAATAACATGAAAAAAATGCAGAGAACATTAGCTGCTCTGCATCTGAAATAATCATACTTTAAGTGTTTGTATGTATATGTCTGAGCATAACTAAGATGTGAACTTTTGTAGAACATTACAGAGAGCTATTAAAACATTAAAGAACTGGGTGTACAGAATCTGGTTCTAGAAAGATTGAACTATACATGAAAATCAGACTTTTAAGCAATATACAGAATCAGTTCAATATCAAGTTAAAGGCATGTCCTCCTTCAGTAACTGGCAGTATCAGAGCCTGCTGTTTCAAATATTAAGAACATAAAATTCCTACCTGCTGCATTTTCTCAAAGTCTAGACATGGCCGTTGAACGTTGTCCCTTCTAACTCTGTTGGTTGCAGCATGTCGATGTATCTTCTTCGGAGAATTGTTACGGGGTGACACTGAACATACCTCAAAAGCCGGGATGTTGGCTGCGGCTGAATGAAACACTTTGGGTGGTGGGGACAGAGACTGGCTGGGCTTGTGTACGTTTGCAGGTGGGGAAGCACAAAACTCCACAGGAGCTGAGAAACACATAAGGTCCCGCACCTCATCATCAGATGAGCCCGAGTTTTCAGCAGCGCTACAACAGTTTGCCTGAGACCACTTTCTCTTCTCAGGATAGGTGTTACTTCTCCCCCTGGTGATCAGACTACTGGTACAGTTTATCACTTCCAGCTCCTCCTCCGAGCTGTGGTGATCAAAGTTATGGTCACTGTCACTGGGGAGGGCAGAGTCTAGAATCGACTCTGGTAAGGGGCTATCCACGTCAGTCTTGGAGGCTCGAGATAGCTGCTGCCTTCCCTCACTACTAGTGTCTCCAGGCTCATCAGTATCTGCCGGAGGACTTCTCACGACTCGATGTCTATCCCTCTTTACCTCGTGATGTATTCCGTTTTCCATATCTGGATAAAACACAAGCATTATTTTATATACAAATAAATGTAGATCTGCAGCCAACTGCTATTAATAAAACAAACACAATAAAATGTATTGGGACAACGCAATCCCAGTAAATAATGGAGCTATTCCCACGATATTTCATGTTAATCTAATGATCCACTACTACAAAGGGTATTTTATTTACAATAGGTAGTCACTTGAAGTCAATATGGAATAGAAAAGAGCTTAGGAACCGTGATGTTTCATTCTACCAATTTTGTTTTTATTTATACATGCTAGCAGAAACACCGCCAGTAACTACTAATTGTAGTATTCATACCTCATGAAAACAAAAACAATTAGAAGAACTCATACCTCATGAAAACAAAAACAATTAGAAGAACTCATACCTCATGAAAACAAAAACAATTAGAAGAACTCATACCTCATGAAAACAAAAACAATTAGAAGAACTAAATATTTTCTAAAAAAAATAATTTTTCTTGGGGGCCCAATGAAATGGTACCAAATAGGAAGATATTCTATTGCAATTTGATAATGCTGGACCCCATGTCGAGATTAGGAAGTTTGAACGAGTATTCTTTCTCTATCCCGCATGTTGTGTCCTGACCTATCATTTTTTTGTTCTTCTCAAGGACAGTGAGCGTAAACACCATCTTCAGATAATTGTTGTTTTTAAGGCAGTTTGAAAGATGTTCCTAATAAATTTTGTAAGTCAAATTTCACCAAATAGCATGATGTAGCCCATAGACTAAAAAAATTTGCCCCATAGATGTTTGATGCCTAATTGGAAGACCTAGTGGTTAGCGTGCGGACTGTGAATCCGGGGATTCGTGTCCTGTTGCACTTTGCGGCAGTAGATGCGTTATACGAGTTATATAAGTGACAGTCAAATCCCACTATTCGATTAGAGTAGTCCAAAAATTGGCGGCGGGGACTGACTAATTGTCTTACCTCTACCTTTATCTGTTAAAACTTAGGTATGGATTGCTCAGATAACTTTTTTTTTCATGTAAATATTTAACCAAGTGAACTTAATAACATTTTTTTTTTCCGTCCTGAGGACTCCTTGGATGGGTGTAGGTAATGATTTGCTAAAACGTAATTTATGGTCTGTGTTTAAAGCACCTGATAGTGAGTTAATAGGTGAATTCATTTGAACACTAGCATGCATACATGTATCTATACATATAATGACAAATTAATTATGGAGGGTTAATAATAAAGACGTGTAATTAAGCTGCAAATCAATATATTCAGAGAGCTTATTATTTGGGAGAATTAATAAACAGTATTTACGGAAATTTCTTAGAATTAAACCTAATTATTCCCGTTTTTGTTTGATATGTTTGTGTAATATGCATATTTATAAGGTATTGTTAAAAGTATGGGGATAAAACAACTCCAGAGAGGACGAGGCTTCTTGTATTACCATTCAGACACCATTTTATCTGTGGGCCTACCTTTTGGCTTTTATCACATCTTATACTTGATTAGTTACTTGCCGCTTACCAGTGGTACGTTTCGAGTGGAATATCCTGTCACTTTTTTTTTCTAACTAGCTCGAAGTACAACACAATTACAGGGTCTGTTCTTTCTGCTTCTCAGTTGGTATTCCAAAACGTTTTAGATAATTCGTATGTATCCAGGTCGAGGATCTGGGTTAACAAGTGTGCATTCTGGACAGTAGCCTTTTGTCTGAAACGACTGCTTGATAAAACATGTATTATGTTATGATGTATTATTACGCTGATGAAGATGTGGTCATTTTCCTCCCCAAAAACGCATCAATGTGGGCAGCGATGATATTTTGTTGAAACATGACCAGTAGTCAGTCGTTTCTTCAGCACACTGCTCATTACTCATCTTCTTACTATAGTGAAAGTAGCGTGTATATATGTATCTATGTATGTGACCGAAATAGTATAAACAATATGGCGCCACCTATGGCAACACAAACAGAAATACATAAAATATTTCACACTTTGAGTATTCAAGATTCAGACAATTAGAAAAATAACTACGGTTTGTGCAACAACCATTTCCTTATCCCAGAACACAATTTTAAATAAAACTACTCTCCTCACAAACAAGAATAAGACTTTCATTAGGACTGTACGTGAGGGTTTGATTATAACTTTTTTGACATAATTCGTAAATAAATTACTTAAAATGAAGTTCTTAAAAAGATTTTTAATAAAGGGTACCACTTTCAATACTTAAAAAATAACAGTACAGTTTATATCGACACAATCCTAACACTTTTTTTCCCTTACAGAAATTGGCATGGCCAGGTGGTTAGGGCCCCGGCATGGCCAGGTGGTTAGGGCCCCGGCATGGCCAGGTGGTTAGGGCGCTCGACTCGCAATCTGAGGGTCGCGGGTTCGAATCCCCGTCACATCAAACATGCTCGCCCTTTCAGCCGTGGGGGCGTTATAATGTGACGATCAATCCCACTATTCGTTGGTAAAAGAGTAGCCCAAGAGTTGGCGGTGGGTGGTGATGACTAGCTACCTTCCCTCTAGTCTTACACTGCTAAATTAGGGACGGCTAGCGCAGATAGCCCTCGTGTAGCTTTGCGCGAAATTCAAAACAAACAAACAATTTCATTTGGTGCACCCTTGTCAGGATCAACGTAGCACAGATTCTCTACATCTTCCCCTTGTTAAGTACTTTACTGTAGAACATAGTACTATGTCACTCGCAGTTGCCATCCTCTCTCTGTGTTGCATGGATACACGAAACAAACAACGACCGTATACTAACTAATTAACAGTAGTTTGTCGACTTAATTCACCGATGTCCATCGTATGTGAAACAAATTATAAATTTTCATTCTTTTTATTATTCTGAATACGCACACAAAAAAACTACTACAATTATGTAATAATTTGTTCCCGTTATTTTCATACAACTGCCAAGTAATCAAAGTTTTAATACCTTATATAAAACTATAAAACTTATAAAACTACTACAATTATGTAATAATTTGTTCCCGTTATTTTCATACAACTGCCAAGTAATCAAAGTTTTAATACCTTATATCACAGATTAGTCTTCTACTGCTGACAATGTTTATACAAACTAGCAGATTAAAAACCTATCCAGACCGTCCTTGGTTACAAAGTACATCAGCATCTTCATAATACTACCACCCTGAGAAATAATTTGTTCCCGTTATTTTCATACAACTGCCAAGTAATCAAAGTTTTAATACCTTATATCACAGATTAGTCTTCTACTGCTGACAATGTTTATACAAACTAGCAGATTAAAAACCTATCCAGACCGTCCTTGGTTACAAAGTACATCAGCATCTTCATAATACTACCACCCTGAGAGACTCAACCAAATCTCAAATATGACAACCGATCCTGTAAATTACCACACATCCACTGCGCCTACATCTTAAGCCCAGTTTTCCATTAACCTTATAACTTAGACATCTTCTGATGTGAAAGGTAAAAAGTTATTATTAAACAATTACCCTTCAGTTAAAAGTTCAAGAGGAAACTCAAAAACTAGAGCATTTGTGTGGTTTCTTCGTCTTTCCCTGATGAGCCAGATACAAACTTGAAATCAATCGATATTTGGTGTCTTGGACTTTCAGAATCATGTTATAAGACTAGTGTACTGTAAGAACACTGAAAAAAACAAGTAAACAAGATCATGTCAAAATAAGTTTGATGTCTCTTGGAAATATCACAGAATCTCATAAGAATGCTACGGGACAATATCAAGTTGACCCTGACTACAGAACAAGTCACAAATAAATGTACAAGAGTCCATAACACTTGTCACGTCATTAAGTGTGTACAGTCTCTGGAAAAACAACGAAACACTACTTTTAAAGCAATCAGCACTAAAAGAAGCCACTACATACATATTTATTGTGCTAGTTAGCTGCATTCCCCATTATGACCACTCTAGCCTGTAGCTGCAATCCCCATCATGACTATATAAAGAAAGTTAACTGGTCCTGCCTACACTAAGTTACTTTCCGAACTCCGATCATTTTTATATAAAAAATCATATGAGGCCCGATCATGATTATAGAACAAGTTTATATTTAGGAGTCAATCATGACAATGCAATAAGTTATTCGGTATCAGTTGATACTGGATAAATATGTAATTTGTTTAATAGATAGTGACATCGCTAAAATACACCGGTTGTGGGCCAATCATGACAACACATCTTATCTAGCCACTGTGCACGTCACTACATGTATGATACTCATGACTAAGAAAAGTTATTCGAATGGCATTAACATAGCAAATAAAATAATAGTTTTTTTAATGGTCAATCTGTTGGTAAAAAAAAAGTTAAATGAACAGCTAAGCTCTAAAGATGAATGGTTTCTAGTTACAAAATAACACCTGAGTTGCAAGATATGAACAATGTGCGAGAAAACTGCAGAATCCAGATACGCAAGAAGTTACAATGAACCAACTGGTAAGAATTAAAGAAGATTAGCGATACTGACTAAAATAACTGAAACTAAATGTAAAATTATATTCAAAGTATAAGAATTAAGTATTCAAGACTATGCAAGTTACTAGTAGTTTAGAACACACGCTCACACCCAGTCAGTTTGAGCTGATGCAGACTAATTAAAACGTAACTAGACGCAAGTTGGTGTGAACTGGAAGAAAGTCACTAATTATAAACTAGTCAAGGTTACATATACAAGCTCGAACATGTTACAAGTTAATTCCGACTATACAAATAGCCTACAGCAGTGATTTACAACGGGAGGTACATGAGGATGTTGGATGTGGTAAAGACCAAACATGCTACAAGTTAAATTCGATGACGAGGAACCCACTTTGAGACTAATAATGCTTGGAGACGGCTTGAATGGGTAATGAAAAAAAACTTTAATATAAGTTTAACATAACAGCAAATGTACAACGTTTCGGCAATGATGGTTATATTGATGATGATGACAAAAACCTTGTTTAAACATTGTACATTTGCTGTTATGTTAAAGTTGTATTAAAGTTTTCTTCATTACCCATTCAAGCCGTCTCCAACCATTATTATGCTACAAGTGAATTTCAACTAAATAAATAGCCTACACAAGTGATTTACAAAAATGGGGTGGATGTTGGATGTGGTAAACGAAAAGATTCTAAGAGTTTTTTTCTGCATAAAAATAACATAAATACAACTTATATAACATAAGTAATATTCTAATGTGGTAAAAACATGGTTTACAACTTCCACCATTTTAAAGTAATGTTTAGCGCATGGTGGTACATAAGAAGCTTTGGTTAAGCAAAATGGTACACGGCTGAAAAGGCAACCTAGGATACGTTCATCACAAACATCCAATCAATCATTAGTTGCGATCAATTTAGAACACGGGTGTCAAAAAGCTTCGTGGAACGATTTTCTGCTGCCCTGGAACTTGCTAAGATCATACTAATGTTCCTACTGTTTGACTTTATTCATTATTATTAACGCCATCATTAAGTGATGCATTCAAACTACAATAACAGAGAACACGCGCCAGGCATTACTTATTTAAAAGGTAGCATGACAACCCTGATCTAAATAAACAAAAAATAAATCAAGTATTTTTTTTTCAGTGTCAAAAAGTTCTAAATAAAGAATAAAATATGTTACTAACATTTTTGAAGTTCTTTGACTTCAGCTCCTTCGTCGTCAGATTCCGTGCCGGAGTCTCTGTCATTGTCTTCTTGTGGCTGAAGAAGAAAAAAAGAAGCAGTGTTTATTTCTAGTACTCTTCAGTTTATAAACCAACGAAATATAAATGTTACAATATTTAAGATAATGAACTTGTATATTAATTTATTGATTCAAGCTCCACTTTTCGGTCTGGAGTTTTGTCAGATCCCAGGATTCACTATGCATACACTGGATTCAAAGCAAGAGTTATCCAGTACACAATTATTCTTCTGTTGTGAAAAGGAGTCTTGGAAAATATAAACAAATATTTAGAGCACTAACACAAAAACGCTCACTTTTTCAATTATAAAAACGTGAGATCATATTGTTACAGCAAGCTATTATTTCATTTCATTTACCTGATGTAAAACATTAATTATTAATAAAAGTATTTGGTTTTGATGTACAGTTCTTTACTCGTCACTAACAACCTAAGATGCTTTAGGAATTTGGATAAAATAAATTAACAACTAAATAACATTACTTGTGATATCTATTCAGAAAACATTTTACTTTATGTGATAAGAAAGCACCATTGTTTTATGACTTAACTTTGAGTAATTAAGTTTAATTTAATGGAAAAATAACAATAGCGCAATTATACAAATCCTACACAACAATGAGTAAAGTTTTACTCCTTCCTATGCATATATGGCTTCTGATCTTCTCCATCCGATACACAATACTTTAGAACGCCACAAACTGACCAAAATGTGCAGAGTCTATTGTAGATAGATGCATATTTAAGTAGGATAACTGGGCAATGCCACTTGTACTCATGGCTGGTGATATCACACTGATAAGTCATTCCAAAACGGATGGATAAAGCAGAACCAATGAGAAACTTAAGAAGAGTTAAACAGAAAATCACGGCTCTAAAAGTGATATTGTTGTGGGATATATGCATGGAAGAAATCAGGGAAGGGAAACCTAAAGATTTCAGAACATGACTTTTTATTTTTAGTTTTGTCCCTTTATTTTATTTTTTATTCCTGGCTAAGGCACTTGATATGCATTGTACAGAGTTACAAGAAACATTCGTCTATAATAATGGTTGG